CTTTCCTCTCTGAAAACAGACTTTCTGCTCCTGGACATGTAAAATCATGTGGCAGCAGGAGGTATTAATATTTTATACTACAATCTCTCTCACACTTTCAGTGTGTGTGTGTGTGTGTGTGTGTGCCAGTTATGAAGGAATTTCATGAACATGCCTTTCTCCTGGGGATTCCAGGGATGACTGTGGTTTGTTTTAAAAAGGTTAGGACCATCATGTGTTTCTTATTTAGACCTAATTCTCGTTGTCAAATAAAATATTAGTCCCTGTGGGATTTCAAATCATTTTTCGGTCATAATCACCCGGGAATGTGTTTCTGGGGACGAGCTTTGTGAGCAAGGTATTTTTCTCTGGAAAAACAAAAGGGTACACGTGTGGCACACAGAAAGGAAAAAAGGGAAGGAAAAAAAGAATCACATCCAGAGATAGGTGGTGCATTCTGGCAGACAGTAGGAATCTATTTCACGCCCAAATGAAAGCAGTGTCAGAGGGGGAATGTGTGTGTAGCATGTGCATGAGAGGTGTGGCAGGGCAGGGGTTAGGCCTGTTAGCTTGTCCTAGGTGGAGAAGGGTGGGAGGGAACACTTCATAATCGAGACCAATGTTCTTTTACTTCAATTGATGACAGACCACAGGGGAAAACACAGCTCGATGCACACACCTTTCCATTTAGCATTGTTTCTGTTCTGATGATCCTTGTAGGACACAATAATACGACACAGCAACCCAGTCACAAACATCTACGAGTCCGTGCACGAGGCATCCAGCACAGAGACGAGTCAAACACCCACGCAGGCAAAGCTGCTGTGATGTTTAGCAAGTACGATGTTTGCAAAGTTTAAGCCAGTTAGCATGTAAGCATGATAATACTTGCTCAGTACAGTCTCATAGTGCTGTGGGAGCATCCGAGCCGTACACTGGAGGAAACTTTCATTCTGGACAACAGTTGTAGCTTGAACTTCCTCAAAGTTTACTATGGCAACAACGGTTGTAACTGCTGTTTGTTTCTCATGTAATCTCCAGGGAGTCGTTGAAATGAAACGTAAATTTAACGAATATTTAGATGAATCAGAGCCGGCTGTTGAACAAAACTAATCTAATAGGTCTGATCTTTGAACAGCTATTCAAAGATCAGACCTATTAGATTAGTTTTGTTCCAGCTGTTCATATGTATCAGTGTGATGTGCGGTGAAATAACAACGCACAGTGTTGGAGTTTGGGGTCAACAGAGGAAGCATCGGGACACCTAAAGACGTTTGGCCTACGACGCTGAGTCAGACGCCCATCGTGTCACCAGTAAATGCCTGCCTCCACTCTGCCACTCGGTTGTTCCCCAACTGCAAAATATCTTGTACAACAAAACTCATGTTATAAGTTTAATGTAATGACTAAAAAATGCACTGCTGGCAGCTTTTAGTGAAGCTCCTGTATCTATCAGGGCGTTCTCCATTGTAACACTGATCTAAGTCCCTACAGATGTATAATACATGCTGGAAGGACATGTCGCATATCTCCATACTGAGCTATGTGATTAAGATGAAACAGGGAGTGAACTACTGAGATGATGCCAGCCCGAGGAAAGACGGAGAGCAGAGTCGACTCAAACTAGAGAGCAGCGTCGACTCTGTTGGTGAGCATCTGTGTAAGTGTCTTTGTGCCGAACCCTTGCTGTAAAACTAACAAGCAGAGATACATCGGTAGCCTAGTCACCAGAAATCCCTGTTATCCAGTGTCTGCCAAAGCTTACATGTTGTTGGACGGATTAAATATTGAGCAGGCAGTCACATGACTTCACTCTATTTTAGGTTAAAACATTGGTTTCGCTGAACTGTAGTTCTGCTGAAATGACCCGTTTTCCATGTCAACTCTATATGCACATCTGTAAGGGGTGAAACACAGAACTTCAAAATACCAGAAATTATTCAAACAAGGTCACTAGAGGTCACTTCAAGGAGGTCAGAGGGCTTTGGCCGAGCCCGTAGCGGTTAAAAGAGACAGACGTGTCAATGCTACACATCATGTACAATATGAATCTACTGTATGTGGGCTGAAGGCCATCTGGTTGGGGGCTGTGCAGTGTCTCCTCCCAGCAGGCAGCTAAAGCTGAGCCAAGACCCCAGGCCCAACACCCTGCTGGACTTTGAAATCAGATCTTTATTGTCCATAAAGCCTCAGCCAAGTATGAAGAATCAGCCCTCCCTAACAAAACACACTTATCCAGCAGAGCGAGGGGCAAGATGAGAGAGAAAGTGGGGCAGAGAGAGTGTGTAAGGTGGGTGAGATGACACCCAGTATAAAGCACAGTTCAATTGGCATGCTTATGCTCGCAACTATGCTGCAGTTATTTATAGATCATTGAGAGATAACTCAATTTTCATAACTTTCTAATTTTGTTGTGGTTGGTTCCAGCCGGCATATCAATGCAGCACTCTCCACGCAGCACAGCTCTGTCTGCTAAAACATCACACCATGTTCTGTTCCTGCCACTGGAGGCCAATTATCTGCTTCAGCGTGACTATGTGTTATGTGAGCTCCACAACCGAGAGGAACGAGGCAATGGAGACACGAAGCCTTACAGCTCAGCTAATGATAAACAAAACTTTCTGCAATCCGTATACGTTTGTCACTCCACCGGCAGACACCTTTCAGTTACAATAAAGCAATGAAAAAATACTGTTGCTTTGGTTAGATGCATTCAACTCTTTTCTTTGTGTAAGTAACAAGTTTAAACAGTTAGAGGTGCCAACATATCACTTCTGAGGAGTTGTGGATGCCAGAAAACACGGATAACATCAGGCCGAGCGAGGCCAAGATGTGAGACAGAAGCTGAACGGATCAGTCAACAAAGTCCGTTTTGAACATTGTCTCAACAGTTAGAAAAACATCATTAGCTGTGCAAGAAGGCTGAATCAAATTAACACTAAGTTCCTGCTAATCTAATATTGCCCTAAGGTATTCTTCACACTGGTTTGCTGCGCTGCTGTTTGTACCAACTTGCTTTTTCCACTGCAAATCACTATCACGTCATATGAACTGTCAACCCAGCGGAATAAGTTTGAAGTGTCTGCCTGTTACCTCAGAATGGCTTCACAGACACGATGGTTTGATCCACCGTGGAGAAACAGACTGTTGTAGACCAGTAGCCTGCAAACATACTGGTGCAGCTTTACTGTGAGTTATCAGAATATCAGAGCTGTTATCACAGATCTGAATTTTTGATGCAATGCATCATGTCTGACAATAACAGCGCTGTCTGGAAAGGAGAATCACAAAGGTTCATCGCTGAAGCAAACTGAACCCAGGTTGCACTGATCTGATCGTGCACGTAATCAATAACCCACTCTGACTATAAAGCGGCAGAGGGAATGACCAGCTTGAGGTCATCACTTGGAAGCCATAAGCATGAAAATCTTCACCATCACTAAATTGCACCTGACAGATTTTGGCACAATCTCAGCCAAAGTTATTGGGAGGACAGTCTACTGCTGAAGGAACCCGAGAGACATTTCTGACCCACTTTGGGCATCTACAGTTTTGAGGAATCCATCTTCATCTGCTCTCTCTCTCTCCATCAGTGATGGGATTACAGTATGAACCGGCAACGGCGTCTGAACCCAATCAATATGAGTCAAAAATCAACTGGAGCTGTATTTACTAGACAACTTTCTCGTTTAATTTTCTTCATCGGACAGAAGCCAGTGCAAATTTCTTAATGTGTTATTAAATGTCTATTTCCATTGCCGACTATTATTAAATAACTACAAAGAGAAAGGGAGCATGACTAAAACTGCTGCAGAACAAATGTGTGCAATGTTCATTCTGCATTTCCAGATGTTTGCTGTGTGAACATTAAGAATATTAAAACAGTCACAGTGAAACTTATCTATTGTGAGTTAATCCATCTGATCTTTTAATTAATAACGTGTTGATGGGCTCTGATTTTGTGCAGCTTTTCATATTTATAGATGAATACTAAATTCTAGCAAAGCGTAAATGCAGTTTCTGGGCTTTTGCATTTGGACCTGTAATCATTAAAACATTTAATATCAAAGCAAAACCGCATCTGTACATCACTTGCACATCAGCACAGTTTTAGCAGTTTAAACGGCTTCAAATGTGGGTGATGAGTCCCTCTAAGATTACATTTTCAGCAGTGTTCGCACACTGTGACTGTGTGGAAAAGCATATGAAATTACTTTGATGAATTTGAACGTTCATTCTGTTTTTATTCCTTTTTTAGAAGAAAAAATCACGTCAGATTGAAATTTTGAGGAAAATGAGGAATAAATTCCACAAAGGACGGTGTGCAATATAAACGCAAATGAAATGCACTGATGTGTTCTGATGTGTGTTGTAGTCGAAGCTTTACAGCACTTGCAAAGTTTCCACTATTTTTGCCCCTTTGAGCCAGACTCGTTTGCAGACTGCGGTCGTAACATTATGAGTAAAATATGAATTTGGGTTATTGTTACAATCCAACGCGCAGCTGCTTGAGTAGCGTCCGTGGTGGCATTGAGAGTGTGGGTTATGGTCTGTGGAAGGACAGAGGTACGTGTCAGGTTGATTTAGTCCGTGTTTAACTTGTGACTGATTGCATCACTGCAGTGGAACAAAGTCAGGTGTGAGGGCAGCACAGTGGTGTTGAATTTCAATGGATATGCCCTTGGCCAGATAGGTGATCACACATGCAAGTACCTACAAATATACACAATATTAAAAATAACTTCCAACGTGCGACATGTGTTTCGTTTTTAAAGTCTTTGCTTTAAACGATTCTTAAATATGAAAGTGTGAATTTAACGCGTATAACCTTTTGGCACAAGCATCAAAGCAGCGCCATCGCACCTGTGCTGACGTCACCCCGTGATCCCCTCAGCTCTGATTTCGGGTGACCGTAAACACTACGGGCTCGTGTCAGCCCCCCCTCTGTGCGCGTGCGCGTTTCCTCCTAAAACTAATTGCAGTTTCGTTCTCTCTCCTTTCTGAGTGACAGAGGATTTCGCTTCGCCCCGAGCGACGTCACGCTAAGGTGGGAGAGCATTTTTGCTGCCTTCATCATCCAAAGAGCCCACACTGACAGCCGTCGCGGCAGAGACGCCTCTACCTGCAGCCGGTGAGCACCGAGAATTACCGAAACTTCATCCGGGCGTCATTTGAGGGCGAGCAGAGTGGGGCCAGCGGGGCTCCGCGCCTGAAGACGTGAACTGTTAGACATGTGTAAGCGCTCCTCTTCCTCTCTGACTCTGATATGACAGTTTTTTTTTTGTTTTTTTTTTAAGTAAAATGAGTCAGAGCCGAAGATCCTCACGAGTGGAGCTTTTTCACGCGCTGTTTCGCAGTCAGATAAGACTTGAGTGTTTTCGGGATTCGTCCTCGGTCCGCCCTGGAAGCATGTAACGTGCTGCGACAGATGGGGCAAAACGACAATGCAGAGGTTAACCACACCTTTGAAAGCGGACATCTCTCCAGTAGCCTCTTGACCAACTTTGTTGCGCATTAAGATGCGCACGGCCGACGAGCAGTTGAATTTTTGCGCTCTTCTTGACAGTCTGTAAGCGCGCCTGCACCGACTCCAGCCGCAGACAGCAAGCAGGGACTTCCTATGTATTTAAGAAATAACTCGGTGCTGGCTGAGATCGTCACTCGAAACTTTGGTGGGGAGTCTCTTTGAGGATTTCAACATGACGGCTCGTCTCTCGCGGATCCAGCTGGCTCTGTTCTTTATCTCGCTTTGTCCGGTCAATATCATCGGACTGTGGTGGTGAGTTTGCATTTACTACCACGTGTTTTTCGCTGTCTGTCTCCCGTCAACCCAAAGCTTCGTGTGATTTCTGCGTAATCGCGGTTTTTCTATTTATTTTAAATCTAAATAAACACACATATATATAAATATATATGCGCAGTAGCATAACATTAATAAGTGATTAATGATTAGCACATTTCCCAGCAAACTACCCGAATCCAAGAATGCTCAAGAACAATCTAAGGTGCTCCCAGAGTGAGAGACTAAACCTGAAGAGAAGACAGGGAGGTGAGGGAGGTGTGTGCATTTCATTGTCTGCAGCGATAGAGAGGACAGGGAGATCGGTGGATGTGGTGTTGATGGTGTGTGTGGTATGTGTGTGTGTGTGTGTGTCTGTGTGTGTGTGGTATGTGTGTGTGTGTGTGTGTCTGTGAGTGAGAGTTCAGAGGGAGGAATGTCAGGTGGCCCTCTGGGCTCAGTGGATATGTCATCATAAAAAAATCCCTATAGGCTCAGCTCCACAAGGTGTGTGACAGTTGGACAGACAGACAGAGAGACAGACAGCAGATCAGCTGATAAAATATTTTCTCTTGGTGAGGGTCTGTCTTACTGTTTCAATAGGAATCAAACTCTCTCTCCGTCTCTCTCTCTCACACACACACACTTTTGTAGTGTTTGAATGTGCAGCTTTGTGATTTTTTTCCACTTGAATCCTCCCACTGTTCATTCACAGCCCAGTCAAGGTCAGTGTGGGATGTAGTGTCATGGAAGCTGTGTGAGTTTATGTCCTTGCATGACTGGTAGATAGAGCTCCTCCACTTTGCCATTTTTCCATCTTACTGTAGAAAAATAGGTTTGTGGAGGTAATCTGTGACGATAGTTTGAATTAACTCGAGTTCTCTTTGTTAATAAAACATAAGAGTCTCTGCTTGTCTATCCACAGGCTGCACTGTATCTGTTACAGATTGTGAAAGTGAGCAAAAATAAGGGGGAGAAGAGAGAATGGGTTCAAGTGTTACTGGTATTTTACATCCAGTACAAGGTGTTTTTCTTTTTACTATAATAACTAATGTGTTAAACAGTAATTTGACATCAGCTCACGCCATTAATGCAGGTTAATAACAATAATGCGTATACATCTTCATTACCACCACATCACAGTTTTCCTTTACCAGACTTTAATATAAGAGACAGAGGTCCTTTTTTAGGCCAAGTGTTGCTGTTGGGCCAAAACACAGTGTTTATTATTTAGCCAGCAAAGTGAATGCCAGCCAGAAAAGTGCTGATCTTTTGCTGAGCTGTGCTGGTACCCAGCTGTGGAAGGAAAGAGAGAAAAACAATGTCCGTACAGGGTCAGCAGTCTGTTTCGTCGCCGTGAATTCATCGCTTTATTTGGGCTAAATCTGCTCATCTCAATGCAAATCAGTAAGCGAAAGATTCCTGACACAGAGCTGTGCTGTTATCTGTGATGTTGATGTCACTGTTCGGCTGGCAGTGTGGGACATTTGTTTTAAATAAGACTGCAGAAGAAGAGAATCAGTGCGAAGAAATCAGCTACTTCCTTTTTATCCCCACTGACATACGCTGTCATCTTCTCTCACTCGCTCTCTAGCTCACTTACACACTTGCTCACACACATAAATGAGTGGGCATATATGCACCAGCACATACACAGAAACGCACACAGTGTGGCCAACTGTGGAGCAGTGAAACCACACCTGTGGATTGCTCTCCTGTCTGCCAGGACAATGATTCTCTCTGTTGAAAGATGCTGTTCATACCATCGTACGTCTCTCTTTCTCGGTCTCCTTCTGAATGTCTCTGTCTCCTTATGCCTTTTGCCGTACTTGTCTTTTGAAGGAAAATGCCTATCACGCAGATAGGTTGTTGATGAAGGAAAAGCGAGAGCTGCAGTGAGAGACGAAGAGTGAGCGAGATGAAATGCTGGGAGATAGCTGTCCTTTCAGTGCCTCTGCTGATTAAAGCGCTCTAATCATTTGGCCTGAGAGCAGAGAGCAAAGCTCAGAGACTCAGACACCAGTCAGGAATGTCTTTGCTCTCTTATGCTAGTTTTGACTGCAGTGCTGAGCAGGGCCAGCTTTGTTGTGCGCCACAGTCCTGAATCGGCGGACGGCCTGCGCAGAGCGTGCCACAGGTGCACACACACACGCATACTGCATGTGTGTGTGTCAGCGCTGCATGCACTCCAAGATATACAGACACACTTATTCAGTCACACATTATGGTGACTATATATATATGTATACGCGCTCATATGCACGCAAACAAACACACACTCGCACAAAATGTATAGTGAGCACTGCCATCATCAGCACGAGAGAGTTTCATTATAACAGATCTTATCTTGTCCTGGGCTGAAAGCTAAACTTGTAATCAGCACCAGGCAGATGGGGTAAGATAAACATTAAATGACGATGTGGGTTTGGCTTTATGTGCAACAGAGAACTGACATCAAATTGTTTATGTGTGTGTTAGTGTGTTTCAGCATATATTTTGGTAGACATTCAGGCCAGCGGTATATTATAATGTCAGAAGAATGCAGAGCAGAGGAGAACGACTGTCTAAGAAATGTCTAAATATCCAAGAATCGAGGAAGAGGAGCGAATTAAGCCTCGGTGGCACATGTTAGGACCTCCTTAAAAAACAGGTAGAATACCTTTGAAGATGAAGAACTCATTACGCGCCATCGCTTCCTTGGTTAATGCTCAAATCAGGCAAACAACACCTCCAAAGACAAAAATGAAGAAAGACTACCTTCACAGACAGATTCGTCCGACATAATTAACCAAGCTGAGCACTTTTAGTGCCTAAACAAACATCTAAATAAAAACTCAAAAAGAAAAGAGTAAGACTAGTAGTCCAAGATGGGACACAGACGCAGGTTTCCTGGGTAACAGTCCGGGAAATGACAATACCCCATCTGAATGTGGACTATTTTATCTGCGAACATTCTTGTGTGTGATCTGCGCAACTATGATGATTTAATCAGGTGATACCTGCACACAAAGCCACATGTGCAGGAGTGATACCAACTAATACCGTGCTGATGTTAGCAGGCGCTGTTATTTACTTTGATGCCTTTCACATTTAGGTGTCGGATAAGAACGCGGGTTCGATTCCCGTCAGCCTGTTCTTAAAAACCGCTTGTGCAAACCCTTCGAAACCTTTTACAGACGTTTAATCTGCTGCCTGCATTTCAATCAAATGGTAGAAGTATGTGCCGAGGCTGTTTCTCTCATCTTAAACTTTGAGACGTGAATAACTGATCTGATCTAAAAATCTGAATCTGAAATGGCAGAAACATCTTCACACATTGGCTTAGTTTATAGACAGATGTCACTATGGCAACCACAGCTTGGTGGTCCACGTTATTCTTAAAAGGAAAGAGACAGTTTAGTTGCTCTAAAGCTTTATTTTATGTGTCATCACGCCTGCGACACACAAACAGGATCTGCCTTCCATGTTCCACGAGTGCTGTTGAGCTCTTTCATGCAGTCATGTGAATATGTCCATATTTTGACTCAGAAATGTATCTGTTAATTGTCACTGGGTGTGCCACGGTTGTTAAACCAGAATAATGTTTTTCTCGTGACATTAGCGCGGCGTTGTTGGTTTCCTGCTGGTCACATTTAATTGCCTTTGCTTCCATTATGAGTGCTGAAACTTTTTATGGCAGCAAATGTCACCGTTTCAGGCTCGTTTCACGGCAGCGTGTCAGCAGGATCGAGCGTGTTTGAAAGCGATCGACACGTTCAGGCTGAGAGGACCGAGAAACAGCGAAGCCGAGAACCAGGAGCTCGTTTTGAAATTTAGTTTGGGAACAGCATGTTTGAATTTGCACACATTTACATCACATGTGAACGGTTTCCTTTTTGTTTTCTAACGAAGCCCAGCATCTTGTTTCCATTTTCACACTCCTGCCGACCCTTTCCCTTTGTCTCGTTTGCTCCGGCGTCTCAGACTAGCGCTTGTCGTGACTGTATTCATCTGCAGCATACTTGAGGGATTAAGGGGGATGAAATTCACTCATTCATGGGTGGAGTGGAAAAAAGAGAAAGGCCCACAGCTCCACGGTGGCGTGAGATCTTTAATGAGATATGAGGTCTCTATGAGTGCCAGTGTTGAATCCCTTTGTGACCTAAAAATAATATGGTTATTATATAATTATTGCCATTGTGAAAAACTATCAGTCCAAGACCTTTGATCATGCCTGACACCTATTTTTTAATAAAGAGTACAAAGAAAGAATCTGCAGACCGAACTGCAGACAAACTGTAGATGTTTAGCTCATGATTGGAGCAGCTGAATATTTGTCATAGCAGTGATCGTTTTCCTATCAGTGCCTTTGATTCGAGTACTTGTGATTCTCAGCCTTGTTTTATCTCCGTCTGCCGCGTTCCTCTGCCTGTGCCCGGCTCTTTATCTTCAAGAAGAACTGTTCATGCGAGACAGTGTTTCCTCAAAGCTGCTGATACGATCAATGACTGAACTTCCCTCTCAGTGTTTTGCACTGGGTTATCTGCTCAGGAGCTGTATCATAAATGACTGACTGAAGAACAGTGGCACTTTGCATGAAGAGGATCTGATTACTTGCCCGGCTTTGAAGTTCCTACTTGGACGTGTATGCAAGCTTTTATCTGTGTCTGCACTGTAAGTGCACCTGCGTGGATCATCAGCATTTTTCGTGACATTACAAACATTTTTTTCCTGCTTTTTTTTTTGCACCTGAAATCCGCACTTTTTGGATCCACGGTAAAGCGAGTCCAGAGTCTCCCCTTCCTCACACTGATGCACACTATAATGTTTCAGTCTCCAAACAAGGGCAAGAATGCCAGGCACTTACAGCACGTTGATCCCATCATTGAATTAATGCACCCCATTTTTGGGTATATCTGCAGCAATGTGCTCTTCCACCTGAGTTCACCTCACTTCCATCATTCCCACTCTCCTCGTGCCCTTTGTCTAAACTTCTGAGTCTGATGAACCCACGTTACCCAACCGATGTGCAGCCAAAATTCAGGCATGATTTCTTCCTACTGTGTCCCAGCGTTGCACGATCGTGCTTTGATGTATCCATTTATGTCGATATCGCTCCTAATTGTTAAAACTTGCAAAAGCTCTGAGTTTAATTAAGTTTACTTTGTAATGACTCTCTATTTAGGTCATGCCGGGGCTTGTTTCTGCTCGTCGAGAGCTAGCTAATTATTATAATTATATTAAGGTATACCATAACAATTGTTATGCAGCTGAAGACGGCACTGTGTTGCGTGTCACAACCTTAAAGGGGAACTTTATCTCTCATGTCCAGCTCCGTTTGGGAGCTTTGCTGTCAAAATAATCCATATTTATCTCACACTGGGCTTTCGTGCTGCCACTCAGTGCTCATTTGCTCTCTATAAAAAGCTGTTCGCTCCCATTTAAGGCCAGCCTCTCTCGAAGGCAAATTTCTTCTGATTGGCTGCCTCTGGCAAACAGAAGGTTCACAGCCAGAGCTGTTTGCCTGAGATGCCCATGGTGACGTATCTCTTTGATAAATGGATGCATAAGCAGAAAAATGTCAAACGGACCATTTAGAGAGCAGTCAAAGCCCGAGCTCACAGGTGTTAAAGCCACACACACACATATATGTAGCCTCCTGACTACTTTTTTTGTCAAATTTGTCGCATGTTTTGAATCTTTAAATAAATGTTTATATTAAGCAAAAAGAAGAAGAGCAAACACAGTTTTTATTAAGGGAAAGAACCTGTCCAAACCTACCCGCTCTGTGTGAAACAGTAGTTGCTTCCTAATCTTAATAAATGCTTTTGCCTTGTCAGCAAAATCTCCAGCTGTTTGTGATGTGCTGGTGATGAGTCTTTCTGTTGTGGAGGAGCTTTGTCCCACTCTGCTTTACTGAATAGTTTTAATTCAGACACATTGGAGGCTTTTCCAGCACGAGCGCCTGTTTAAGGTCAACTAAGTCTGATTTAAGTCCACACTTTGAAAACCTTCATTTTGGACTTGCTGCAATAGTCCGCTTAACCTTCATGTCATGAACTGATGGTCGGACATTCTCCTTCAGGATTTTCTGGTAGAGAGCAGAATTCATGTGGTCCAGGTCCTGAAGCAGCAAAGGAGCCTCAAACCATCACACAACCACCACCGTGTTCGACTGTAATCCTGGGAAGTTTCAGCACAGTTCCAAGTTGTCTCCATGTGTGAACGTTGGCTCTCACTGTGATTCGCTGGAGTCCCAAAGGCTTAGACTTTGCATTACTTACTTGCTGTTATTTGTGATCTTTTGGCCCCCTTCATTTTGTTGGACAGCCTCGATTTAAGTGATTTTTTTTGCAACAGATCTGGCAATAACCAGGTCTCTGTGACATTGATCTCAGTTTTTAAAAAAACGTGGTTAATCAAAGAAAACTCAGGATTCAACCTGCGGAGATGATACTGGACAGATGGGACAGTGTGCTCGCCTTCGACAGCCGGGAATAATGGGGCTTTTTCACTGTATGTATACTGTACAAGTATAAATACAAATACAAAGCAGATTGCCTCGTGGGAATAAGCCGCTTATCTGTGTAGGTCCGCTGTGAGCAGCAGCACAAAGAGAGAACAAAAGACAAGATGCTTTCTTAAACCAGGGGTGTAATTTTCAGGAAAGTTAGGGGGGTTATGACCCCCCAATAAGCAAACCCAACCAGCCAATAAAATGATGAATTATCTTGCATTATTTCTTTACTCATTTCAGGTATTACCAGCAAAATAGTTGCATGTTTAATCATCTGGGAATTTACTGAGATTTATTTATTTATTTAGACAGAGATCTTGACCCCCCCAATGCTCAGCACAAAGTTACGCTGATGTCTTAAATGCTATGTTCATCCCGAGAGCAAAACTCTGAATGCATCACAGAAGGTGTGAAGTGAAAAACCTGTGTTGTGCCCTTTTGAACAGGGAGACAAGGAAATAACATGATTGCATTTCATAAAGTCAGCATGTGCATGGAGTAGTGTCAGGTGGAGTAATATGTAGTAGTGAACAAGGGATCCTGGTGCCAGATTTATCCTTTAATAGTTTCCTTTTTAGCCTCTCTGGCTCTCTCTCCCGATATCTATCTATATATTTGTTTGTGAGGCTCCAGCTGTCTGTGGATTTTTCGAATGCCGTGGACAGAAGTCGGAATAAAACTCGAGTGCATTCACTAGTTTTACGGGTCTCCCATTATAAAAGCCACCCTGGTTTTTGCGAGCTGCTGACAGAGCGGGCCGCGTGCACGTGATGAGCCCTCTTGCAGACATACGCACCAACGAGCGTCTTGCCTTTCTCACAGCCCAGACAGACTGCAAAGACGTACACCTGCATGCATAGACATAAATGTGACATTTATCTCTTCCTCGCTCTCTCACACATGCTCCCCGGTGGCAGTGGGTAGATAATAAGTGGTTTTTGGGAGGGAGTGTATGTTGCTAAGTATTTTACCTGTACCTGGTAATTAACACCTACACACTGTCTGTATGTTTCAATTATCTGTGGGATCACCACACAAACACTCATTGTAGCCTCACAGCTACACTGTTTACACAGAACACCTGTAATGAAAATACAGCATTGTTTCCATAGCAGTGTTTTCAACACACAGAAGTAATGGAAGAGTGGGTGTCCCACAGTTGTGTGTGGAGATGCCAGTGCACTTTCAGCATATAACATGACATTCGGCTTTTTCCCATTGTGCTCTCTGTATAATGGATGATTATTCGGGATTAGGTGCTTTACAAATGTGTTCTTCTGCTATTGTAACATAACAAAGTCCCGGTGGTACCATATTAAAGGTTAAATGGCCTGTGTTTGTATAGTGCCTTACTAGTCCCAAAGGACCCCAAAGCGCTTTACACATCCAGTCATCATTCACACACTGGTGATGGCAGCTACATTGTAGCCACAGCCGTCCTGGGGCGCACTGACAGAGGCGAGGCTGCCGGACACTGGCGCCACCGGGCCCTCTGACCACCACCAGTAGGCAACGGGTGAAGTGTCTTGCCCAAGGACACAACGACCGAGACTGTCCAAGCCGGGGCTCGAACCGGCAACCTTCCAATTACAAGGCGAACGCCCAACTCTTGAGCCACGATCGCCTCTTTCAGCAAAGAGGCTAACACGAGCTTTCTTATGTGTGAAAGATACTTAATTCTGTCGTCCGCTGACATGTTGGCCTGCCATCTAAATTATTATATCAGTCTAAAAATAGACAAAAACATGCAGGAACGACCGCAGGAGCCTGTGCTGGGTATCAGACCGCCAGCGGAGAGAATTGGCGAGTGTTTGTTCTGCTTCTTAAAGCAAACTCTCAAGGCAGAAGAATGATATCAGGAGGTGCTATTAACAGGAACGAGGCTGAATGAAAACTATGGGTTGGCCTTTTCCTCGCCCTCGCTTTCTCCTTCCCTCCCTATTTAATTGTAAAACCTCAACTTATGAATCACATCTGCTGGCATCCAGGGACAAAAAGCATGAAAAGATGCAGAGCAGACATGGAGTAGGTGTTCTACATAGGATAAACTGGCAGCAGGCAGAGATGAGAAAAGCAAAGAGTGGAAATAAAGTCCTCTCATGAAGTCACTTTCCCTGTAGTGACACTGAAGTGTCCACAAATGCTGGCAGTGATTCCACGTGGCAGAGCCAATTCCCCCTTTCCCATTAAGAGTTAGAATAAACTATTTATCTGTGTTATATACACTAATCTGTCAAAGCTGCTCAGGACGATCACAGTTGTATTCATCAAATGCAAGAAATATGTATATACATATTAATGTTTTAAATATTTAAACTTCATGAAGCGAGCTTGATTTATTTTCCCTCACATTTAAACATTTTTTCTTCTTCTTTTCTGTAATATAATATGTGCAGATTCCCTGAAGGAGCGCTGCTTTGAGGACTCTGTGTGGTTTAAGCAGCAAAGCTCTTAACGTCTCTAAAATCTACAGAGAGGCTGTATCGTTAGGAAATCTAGAAAGACTGCCGTCTGCTTTACCAAAATCAACTTAAGCAGCATCAAAATCAACTGTAAAAAGCCGTCCAACTACATGACTTCCAACTTTTTGAGGACCGCACAGTTCCTCCGAGCGCAGTCCAATAACAGAATCTAAACTTGCCAATCTGACATCAGAGTCAGGATTCCTCTGGGAAACTATGCTGTTGTCTCCCACATGCTGATTCAAGAAGCACATTGTCACATGGCTGAGATGTGGTGGGTAGAGGAGCCAAAGAAAAACCTTCTTCGACTGATGATTGCAGAGTTTCCCGAGTGACAAGATAAGCCGTGTGAACTCTCTGTTGTCATAACGCTGCTTAGAAACCATTCTTCTTCTTCTTGTCTAACATTGTTCAAACAGGGCGGTGGGCAGTCCACTGGTCATGGACCCCAACAGCATTTGCAGGAAGGCAAAGCGCCTGGCGGGGAAACAGGCTGAGCTGTGCCAGACTCAGCCCGAGATCATCAACGAGGTGGCCAAAGGAGCCAGGCTGGGCGTCCGGGAGTGCCAGTACCAGTTCAGGTACCGCAGGTGGAACTGCACCAGCCACCACAAATACTTTGGGAAAATACTTCAACAAGGTGAGTGACTTCGTCTGCCTCTTCTTAGTAAAATGCATGCAGTCTTGAAGGAATAGTTGGAAGTAGTGCTGCGAGTTAAATAAGAAGATTTAAATCATTCTCATGTCTACCTGGCGCTACAAGCCAAAATTCAATTTGAAGCTGTCGTGTCTTCGCGGGGTTACGATTATAGCCGCTGTCCTTGCATCAAGTTGAGGTCAGAAGCCTGCCTGATGGCACTCGAACAAACAAGGGCAGCTGTTGTATGTCTGAGGAGACGTATTCACACTTGACTGACTCTCCTCTTCATCAGATTGGGCATGCCTGAAATGATCAGCTAAGAATGCCCTTTCTCTTAACATCTTTCCTAAGATCTCCTAACATCTTCCTCCAACTCTTTGAAGTCTGTAATATAACTGACGCAGGGTCACTGCTGGGTCTTCTGCAATTACTGTGTTGGTTTTTTCTCTTGTCTGATTAGATTCATAGAGAGTTTCTTGTCTCTCCGTTGACTTGCATTACAGAGGACCTTTATCTTTGTGTTTAGTTAACAAACAAGGCACACGTATTATTAATTTACAGCAAAGGAAACACAACGTGCCAAACATTTCATTAAACTCATTTCTGCCTCAGTGGGGGAAGATGTGCAAAATGAAGTTTGGCTCTGATGTGTCATAATTCTAGATAGTAACATACTAGAACTGCACGATTGCCATTAAAATCCAATAAGTTTCCCTTTTGGAGCACTTTTGATTTCATGTGGCCTGACAGTAAGAAGTGCGTCCCATCTAAATGAAGGTAAACACAATAAGTTTTTGCATCAGGAGGCATTTTTGTTCCTTTCAGCTGAGACAAAATCAAAATAACTAACATATTATGCGGCTGAGAGATTTCAAATACCCATTAGATGTGTCAGATATGTTTACTCACCCCTACAATCAACACAGAAGACCTGCGAAACTGAAGTTTATGGAGAAGTTTATGTTTCTTTTAACTTTAATAACTTATAATTATAGATGCAATAATGCTCTCAATGCCTTCTCTTGTTAAGCTCTACAGCTCAATAACAGTGTGACATCAGAAAAGCCATTTTTCTGTAATGAAGGTGGACCAAAGACTGATTTTGTTTTCCATATATGAATTTATGACACCAGTCTTGTTGGACAGAGAAAGAAAGGAGAAAAAGAGAGAAGGAGAGAGGAAGGGAGAGAAGAGGGAAAAGGGCAAGAATCTACCAGTAGGAGACAGACTAGCAATTAATCATGAATTCCTGGCTGTCTATAAGGGAGGCCAAAGTGCTCCGCTGCTTTAAAGCCTTTGTCCACAATTACCTGGATCTGCTCTTAATGGCTGTTTATCATAGACTAGTAGCACTACATGTCAAAATAAAAGTGCCTTCATATTTAATGTTCTCTGGCTGTAAGTGGTTTGCTTAACCTCATTGACCTCTACAGTTCTGCAACAACACACTCTTACAGAGACACTTTCATGACAGTTTTTATTTGCAGAAAAACGAAGGCTGCGTTTTGCATGATTTCTGTCAGGTCACGTGCGACAGCAGCACAGCTACGCCGTGCGTAGGTTTGAAAAGGGAAGCTGCCTCGACTCCTTTGATTGCTCGTCTCATTTTGTGTCACTCTCTGCTGCTGTGTTTGTGGCAGCCAACTCATCGATTCACCGCAGGCATCGTGTTTCTATTTGCTTTATTCGCTTATTTTTGCTACTTTTGTTTTACCTACGGTTACTCCAGCAGCCGACTCGCTGGGCACTGTTCAGTACTGTGAGTTTTCTCCCAATCCTAATGATTCTTACCAATCACGTTTCATCCATCTGTGTGCTTTTTCACGTGTACAGTGGAAAGGTGTTTTACTGACTGAGTTAAACAGGCTTCGAATCCTGTTTAGCAAACAGCCTAAGAGCAGTTTAAAGACCTGCGTGATGGCATTTGTGTATTTCTTGCTGTGTTTGTGAAAAGGATTTATCTTGAGCTGCATCGCTGCTGTACGTCAACACGACTCTCTGAGGAAACAAGGAACGACTGTAGCTGCAGTCGGTGGAATAAGAGCTTTGAATTATTTTGTATTAATAACTGTGCAGAACATGCGTGTGTGTGTGTGTGTGTGTGTGCATATAATGATGAAAACTATTACTCAGTTCGTCTCGGTGTATGGAAAGAAAACGCATATACAAGGATCCATGGTGCAAATGTTTAGTTTTTGATTTGCGTCAAGACAGCAGATGGAAGAGAAACGCTGAAGGTGAAAACTTAGTGTGTGTGTGTGTTTGTGTGTTTATATAACAGGGGTTTTAGCGGATTTCACAACATTACTGAAACACTGCCATTTCAAAACTTTAGTGCGAGACGTCTGAATGAGTGAACACGTTGACACAAGGGCCAACGTGTCCTCACTCCCGTCTCATCACAGACTGAAGCTCGGTCAAGAACTGTGTATTTTAATAAATTGGCCACCTTTTTTGTATCACGTGCAGGGCGCTCTGATTAATTTCATTACAAGTCAGTCAACATGGGAAATCGGCATCATACGATCACAGGCAGATGTGCTCTGCGGGGTCTCAGGTCCCTGTGAAGGAAAAGCTTTTTGCAGATGGGAAAAGGTTGCCTTGCAGCATGCTGTTAATGCTGTGAAACGCTGAATTTTAACTCAGAACACCTGTTGCAAAACCTAACCAGAAGGCTTTTAGTGTCTAAATTTAGACAGGACTAGAAGACGGGCTTGTTTTCTGGTTTGGAAGACAAGTGAACACAACGTTTACTACCTCACCTCCCTGCGTACGTTAAATGTAAATGTTTGTTTGCTGCTTGGGTACAAAAACCATCTTTTAACACAACAAGAGGCACGTTGTCTTAAAAAAGACGGAAAGAAATTGTGTCCTGGCATCGTCAGCAGTTCTTGACGTGGGCTTTGAGAAACCTGTGGGTGCATGAGATAAACCCTGCCAAAAACAAACAAACTGGGAAAGTACCACAGACTGGTTCACAAGTTGTGTCTAGATCTTTGCCCATTTTAAGGCTTGGAGATTAAACTGGATTTAGTTTGAGTTATTTTTATAGAAATTGTGAGGTATCGGCTCCTGTAATTGTGGGGAATCGCTCTGCATTTCCCCACAGTATGGACATGGACTGTGGACTGCTGCTAACGCTCAGCTTCACAGGGTTTGTACAGAATACAGACAAAGGAAGCACAACAAACACTGTCTGTGGGAAAAAAGGGATTCTGGAGCAGCACTGAGCAATGGTAGGACTGGTAAAATGTGTTAAAATGAGAGTCGTTGCCAAATTTGAGCACGTGATAGTTGACAGTGTGGATGTGTCCCAGTGGCTCATTTTGCATGTGCATCAGATTGTTTTCTTCTTGGGCCATAAACATCTTACATACACTTATCTCCCAAACAAAGACTTCTGCTTTCTTGACATCAGTCTTTATTATCCTCTCTGTGTTCGAAAACATACAGACCATGGAGCCAGCATGGCTCCCAGTGCGAGCCAGCCCCCATACAGTGATGCTGTAATCACATAGGAGATATTCCAAATTGTGTGTGCAGAGTTGTGTGTGAAATTCTGTCCTGTGTTACGAACCAAGGCCTCTTGCTTTGGGGCTTCACGTTAATTAAGCCGATCGTCAATCATGTCAAAAACGTTGAGACCTTCTCACTAATGATGCTCTCAGGCTGACTCACAGATATGATTCAGATTCTGTGCTGATTGATTGACACACGGGTTTCAGGATGTTTTATTTTCCTGTCAGTGTTTTTAACATTAATGAGCCTTTAAACTGACACTGTGTGCATGGGCGTGGATATTAAGACACGCTGTGGAAGAGAGCCAGAGATTAATAATAACTAATGATTCAATGCAGAGAGGTGAGTGAAGAGGAAACACCCAGTGCCTCATGGGAATCCCCCAGCAGCCTACACCTATCACAGTGTAGCTAAGGGAGGATTCAGGGTCACCTGATCCAGCTCTAACTATACGCTTTAGCAAAAAGGAAAGTTTGAAGCCTTAAAAGTAGAGATAGTGTCTGTCTCCTGGGATCTGGTTCCACAGAAGAGGGGCCTGAAACAAGCATGTAGCCTTCTGACCTCCTGTGAGAGTGAGAACTGCTGAAGTCCAGCCCCAACATACAACCCGTCTCTTCTGATATGTGTTTGGATTTATAGATACAGTTAATTTCCACACAGCATATGTGATTATATCAGGAGTTCCCCACCTCTCCTCAAACTGTCCCATCTGGGTGTTCCTTGTTTTTAAAAAGTATGAATCACTTCATGGGTAAATTCTGACAGAGATTTTCTTTTATGAGCAAGTTTTGATCTTACATTTTGAAACTCACTCGATATGACCACAGTTCACCTAAACAAACGTTTTCCTATAGCGTGGATCCTCTGTGCCGTAATCCTTTTTAAGCTTTGCTTGACGTCCCTGATCACGTTTAGACGATGACCTCTAAAAGATGAAAAAGCGATTAAAATAATATGTTGTAGATCCTGCAGAAGGACTTTTTTGAAATCGAAGCAGACGTAGACAGGCCCAGACACCCAGCGTGGCAGGGAATTTGTTTGGAATTCATGTCTGCGAGGAAAATGTGAATCAGGGTGCCTCAAATCATCAAATTTTTGATAGCTTCTTTCCTCCTCTCCCTTCGTTTTCTCCCTCTTCTTTAAGCCTTCTGCTTTCCCCCCTCGTGTATGCTGTCGGCCCATTTTTACAGAGAGGATATTTTTGCCTTGTGCTAGTTGATGCCCTCAAAACTGAAATGTGTGAAAAACATGTCAAACAACACTTTTCATGTTCAGTTTTTGCCGTGGAGATTTCCTCTGCTCAGCGTCGTGCTTTGCAAGCACAGTTGGTGACATCTGGATGGCCTCTCGGCTTGTTTGGACACAGCACGTGTTGCTATCACCATATTGTACGAATGATTTAAGTGCTGCTGTTTCACACATGTGTTTCTAAATAGTTGGAGGGATGCTTTGGAGATGACACATTTTAATTTGAGTACGTTTGCAGTTATAACCTTCTGCCGAATGGTAGGAACAAAAAGGTGTGGTCTGCTTAAGTTGTAACACACACACACACACACACACACACACACACACACACACACACACACACACACATATAAACAGACTGGGTGGCGTGCGACAAAACCTGCACACCCCAGCGAGCCTTGATATCAATACCAGCTGTAAGACACCCAGAGATGTCTCCAGTGCAGGCACACTCGTAAAAGTTTGTGTGTGAAAAATATTGTTTTATGCCGTTTGAAGCATTTAACATTTCACAATAGTCTGCTCGTCTTCTGTGTCGTGAAGAGCTGCTGTGTAAAATGTTGGAACCAGCTCAGTAAATCTGAGGATTAGATATGTGAGACGGGACATGCAGCATTTGTACCAGAGTGTGTGTGTGTGTGTGTTACCATTCCTAATGAATCCCATTCAGTGAATCATGCGATATAGAGCTGGCAGTGTTGATAGTGGTGACTGCACAGCCGCTGCCTTCCAGCTCCTAGAAATAAAAATGCTTTTGCTTCATGTAAACTCAGCACACAGTGGTTAAAATAAGATTTTTCCCTCAAACCTGTGAAACTGTTGTGTTTTATTCTCTTCAGAGGTTATTTTTAGATGTTTTTTCGTTTAGTTTATCCTCAGCAGGCCTTACACTATTTAAAACACATCTTCCTACAAATGTTATCATATTTTTTTATCCCTGCACACTTAACAACCTCACACACATGTGTGCAGTCCTGTGATAAACTAAGAACACCTTACTGCCTCCATAAGAATTGAGAAGGTAAGTACAGCCAGGTGCTTCTAATTAAATGTAAATTTGATTAACTCTTGATGATCAGCAAGTGTGGCCACCTCTGTACATCTGGAGCATTCGTACGTGTGTGTCCCAACAACGTCACAGTCTGTCACAGAACTGCAGAAAACCAAGAGCTACAGCTGAGAGGTTCTACAGGCTTTATTTAGCATGTTTAATGTTAAAGTTCATGACAGCACTCTTAGGAAAAATGAAAAAGTATGGCTTGCATGGGAGGATAGTCAGAAGAAAGCGTCTTCTCTCTAAAATGAACATGGCAGCACGGTGCAGGATTGCAAAACTGCATCTGAACAAACGACAAGACTTCGCCAGATAATGCACAGCACCACATCTGGCAAAAAACTCATACTCAGTATTTGCAAGGTGCTCGGGCACTGGGCACACTGGGCATACTGGTACTCGGGACCTCGACCTGATGGAAATGCTGTGATGAAATCCTTCAGAGAGCTGTGCATAAACAAATGTCTGCAAACAGCTTAAAGAGACTAATGTGGTTCCACAACTTACTGAGTCATGCACGACTGCACAGAGTGGAAGCTTTGATGTTTTCACACAACAGTACAGCAGTATCTTTTGTCTGTCTTATTCTAAACCTGAAGAAAGTTTCTTATAATTCTTGTGCTTCTTATACTTATGTTCAGGTCAGAGGGCAACACCGTTGTTTTTGGCGATGCAGCTCGTGAGGTCTAAATAAACCTCTTTGCTCAAGCAGCAGGTGCTCAGTTGTGGTTTAGTCCCCATCAGCTAGCATTTGTTAACATTAAAATAGTAAATATCACATACACACGCGTGTCGTTATTAACTTATGATAATATTACTTGCTAACGTGTTAAACTGTAAATGTTTGGTTTTGTTCTTCTATCCTGAAGATCGACATTCAGAAGGCCAATCATTCAAGCCCTGTATGGGCTTTGGCTGCACAGCACATGGTAGCAGCATCAGTGTGTTGTTATTGCTCGCCATAAAAAAAAAGGGCAAACACACAAATCTTTTTTTATTCCAGTTTGTTCTGCAACAAACGTTCAATTTAAAGTAAGAATAAGAGCAGTGTTCACGTGCATTAGCTCTCAGCAATTTTTTATAGCTGCTCTTTTTCTGTCAGGTGATGGACAATAGCTGCTCTAACCCCGGATAAAGACACGCTGATCTGTGGGTGGCAGAAATGCTGAAGCACCCGCGGGGAGACAGACGATCGATTTGCAGTTGTAGTTGAGCACGGCTTTAACCAGCAGCGTTAAGCCATGCACTCGAAATAAACCAGCAGCTGTGGCGTGTGAGAGCTTGTGTGTACGATTATGTTGGCCTGAGAGAGAAAAAGCCGTCCTCAGCACCACAAAGCCAGCGACGCTTCAGTTGTCGTAATCGAGCAGGACTGAGAGAGAAGCGCTCTTATCCTGTTCCCTGGGGCTGAGATATCGACTGATGGGATGCAGAGACAGATGTGGAGGGATGCTTGTTGTTTTATTGTCCTGCAGCTGACTGTGGAGCGATACTGACCACTTAATGAAAAATATGTGTCCAAATGTTGTGAATCCCAACTTTGGACAGTTGGACTTAAAAACTAAACTCATCCCACCAGAAGAGCTTCATGCACATATTTTACATGTATGTAAGGCTTTTGAAGTCTCAGTTGTTGCAAGTCTGTCAGCTGAGGTTTGAGCAACAATCAGAATCAAAGAAGTTGGACACCAGGTTTCCAGTCAGGTTTGTGGAGCCAGATGAAGTTTTATGACATCCAGCATTTTACATGAGAGACATAAGATTTGAGATTTTGTTACGACCCATCAGCAAAATCAGCTCTGTATTTACGGAGCATCACCCATATATGAACACTCGGTATTCAGAGGTCACCAACTTTCAGCAGAGTCAGTCGCTACAGACCTCCAAACTTCGCGTGGCCTTCAGATTAACTCGAGAACGGTGAAGCTTCGTGGAACGGGCTCACAAGCTTCATCCAAACCTTACAATGCAAAGCGTCATATGCTGTGGTGGAAAGCACGCCACCACTGGACTCCAGAGGAGCAGAGACATGTTCTCTGGAGTGACAAATCAGCATCTGGCAGAGTGTGGGTTTGGTGATTGCCAGGAGAACAGTACTTGTCTGACTGCCCTGTGTTTGGTGGGGGGGTGTTTGGTGTTCCCAACTTTGTGGGAACACCAGTGCACAAAGTCCATAAAGACATGAATGCATTTCTGGAAGGACGGTCAAAAATTCCCATTAACACACTCCTAAATTGTGGAAAGCCTTCCCAGAAAAGCTGACGCTGTTATAGCTGCAAAGGGTGGGCCGACATCACATTAAACCCTGTGGATTAAGAATGTGATGTCGCTCAGCTTCATATGCGTGTGAAGGCAGACGAGAGAATACTTTTGGCAGTGTAGTGTGAATGAGATCGAAACGGCACAGAGAATTGTCCCCTGGGGAAGATCTCGCGAAACGGGGACTGGAGATGAGGAGAACTGTCCCATTGCAGTAGAAAATGATGAGGCAGGAGCTGTAATGCTTGATGCCAAGGTTCTATAAGGACATCGATGTCGCCTGTATTAAATCTAAAACTCACATCCAGAAGATTTAGAATAGAAAATGTGTATGGCGTATATTTATACAATCCTGTATTTTACATGTTTGCAGTGGGGCTGTATAAGTTCATTACTATGAATTCCTTCAAACGCTGGTAAAAGTCATCAGATATCTGTGGAATTACTCTTTGTGAGCACTTTTGTAATGCTGCATGCAGACTCAGTAACCGAACCCCCTCTTTTGCTTGTACCTGTTCCTGTAGATATCCGGGAGACAGCTTTTGTTTATGCCATCACAGCCGCCGGTGTGACCCACTCTGTGACGCAGGCCTGCAGTATGGGAGACCTCCTGCAGTGCGGCTGTGAGGCCACCAGGAACAGACCGCCTCCGAAGCCGTCCTCCTCTGGGGACGGGGTCAAGTGGGAGTGGGGGGGCTGCGGAGATGATGTGGAGTTTGGTTATGAAAAGTCAAAGCAGTTTATGGATGCCAAGAGGAGGAAAGGCAAGAGTGACATCAGGACGCTCGTCGACCTGCACAATAATGAAGCTGGCAGACTGGTAAGCAGTTTCACAAAGTTTCTGTATCCTGTTCAAATGTAGTAAGAATGCATGTTTCACCTGCTGATAAAGTTCGACAAAGGTGTCGGTTGTCCATTGGAATGCTTCTTTCCATTCCACTAACATGCGAAAAGAGAAAGCCGCGGCCTCCAGCCATATTTGTGTCGTGCCGTAAGCTGATATTCTAACAAGAATCGGGTTTCTGAAACAAAAAAAACAAGAACGTGCCCGGCGCTTTGTTTTTGAGCCTCGGAGGCAGCCTTTCTACTGCCACTGTAGAAGTTAAAAGTTCCTCTGTGTTGTGAATTACCACCATGATGGTCTTACCGCGCTACTGGAAGATGAAGGAGCAAGTTTAGTTTGGTGTTTGTTTATAAGAAGAACACTGGCAAATCTTCAGGATCGCATTTCCTTGTGCGCTGTTGTCGCTGTTTGAGTTCGTTGCAGAATTGTTAAAAGATGCACAAGCAACACCGAATTATAAAGTTCACTTTAGTTGGGGTCAGCGGCAGGTAGAGAGGAAGAGAGGAGGGTTTTTGGGATGCAGTCCAATTGTAGCATTAGTGAACAAACTGTTTGAACATAGGAAGAAAAATTCCCAGAGGTTGAGAAATAAGCGTGCTGCGATGCGCCCAAATGTCTGTTTATGTGCATGAATGCATGTCTACTTTTATACACATTTGTGTGTGTGTGTGTGTGTGTGTGTGTGTGTGTGATGGGTTAATTATGTGCATTATAAGTGAATGATCTGTTGTCAAGGCTTGTTAGATGTAGGAAGGCCAGAGGCAACGTGGAGGGAGAGGGGGGCTGGGGAGTTAAATTCCTTCTGAATAGCGTCTGCTTTTATCTTACCTATCTATCAGTGTGTGTGTGTGTGTGTGTGTGTGTGTGTGTGTGTGTGTGTGTGTGTGTGTGTGATCCAGGGCCTTTGTCTGTCATATATCATGAAAACACAATAATAAATTCTTCTTAGGCGAATTAGTCATTTGTCATAAGCAGCTCGGCTTCACTTCAGGGTACAAGTTAACTGTTTTTGTCCTTCTTTCTGCTTGATAAACCCTCTCCTCTCTTTTTCACCTGTCTGCCCTCTTTCACCTCCCTTTTCCCCCCTTTAGGCAGTAAAGCTCTACATGAGGACTGAGTGCAAATGCCACGGACTGTCAGGCTCGTGCACGCTGCGCACGTGCTGGAAAAAGATGCCGCATTTCCGTGAAGTGGGCGACCGCCTGCTGGAGCGATTCAACGGCGCCTCGAAGGTGATGGGCGGCAATGACGGGAAGACCCTGATCCCTGTGGGCCAGAACATCAAACCTCCGGACAAGCAGGATCTGATCTACTCGGACGAGTCTCCGGATTTCTGCCTCGCAAATCGAAAAACAGGTTCGCTGGGAACAAAGGGGCGTATATGCAACAGCACGGCCATGGACATTAGCGGCTGTGATTTGTTGTGCTGCGAGCGAGGCTTCCGGGAGGAGACGGTGGTGTTTGAGGAGAACTGCTTATGCCGTTTCCACTGGTGTTGTGTCGTCCAGTGCAAAAAGTGCATGGTTCGAAAAGAGCTTAGTCTCTGTCACTGACGAACTAAAGTTTAAAGTAGTCAAATTACTTTGTTAATTACAACTACTTTTGTTACTTTTTGAAGTTCTTGCTTTAGTTTGGATAGCGTGAAAGATGCAGAGGATCTCGAGTTTATGGTTATCAAGCTCAGTCAGAAGTTGAAACAATGGAAACAATGGAAACAATGCCATATCCTCCTTCCACCTGCAGTTCAACAACATTGCTTAATAGGAGACGTTGCTTTTATTCCACGATATTCTGCAGGGTAGTAAGAAGATTAAGGACCTCACTATGGCCCATATTCCATTCCAGTGCTCATAGACGTACTGTTATCTAACGGTGTAATGCTCATAGACTTGACATAAAAGATGGACGTAGCCTCTGGATCTAAAGAGTGAAGTAAATGCAAAAGTGCCTTAAACCTGCTTTAATTCCAAAACCCAGCAGGGAGCAACTCCCCAATACGTAATGACTTTATAGCCTCGGTTGCTGTTTTCAAGTCTTCTTCAACCAGTTTGTAAACGATGGGCTCATTTCAGGTAAAACTGACAGTAAAGCAGGACGTGGCAAATCACCCCCATATGAACATGCCAATGGGGATGGTTTTGGTGGCTACACCCATCTTTCATATATATTCCGTCTTAACAAGTGTAATCATATTCTTGAGTTTGCATTTACCAAAAACTGTGTCTCAGTTATTGTAACTGCAGCGAATCAACATAGTGAGAAAACAAAACGATGCTGGTCTTGACCTGTTGTTCTGCTACTACATGAAAAATGTAAAAAAGGGAAACTGTAAACCGTTGTTATAGTTGCAAAGATGCTGTTAACACCATGCTTTGCAGGTGCGGACTTGGCTTGCCAGCAGAGACTATTATTTATATAAAGATATGATGACTACTTGCTTCCGTCTGTCTCTCAGAAGCACTTTGGATGCAGCAGCTGCCGCGGACGTCCTCATCAGCTTGGCAATCAAACCTGCAGTCGGCTGTTTCTCCTGAACCAAAATAGAAACCTTTTTTTTTCATGACATTTTTTTGTTATCAAAAAAATGTATATGATGCATTTTGTTTATATATTATGATATACAGGGCTAATAATAATAATAATAATGCACTATGGATGTTAGCTTTTATTTGATACTGTAAGTGCCTGTGTGCGTGCGTGTGCGTGTGTGTGAGAGAAGGTGTGCATTATTGTGTTTGTGTAGGTTGGCCAGTTATCACCATATCCTTCAGTGTATATATCTTGTTGCTGTCTGTTAAACTGCAGTATGCTGCTTACTGAAAGCACACCACTCCTGGACAGTCTGTCTCTGAGCGACACAGACGAGGTCTTTTTTTGTTGCTTTGTTCTTCTTCAGCAGAAATACCCATAAACTTATTGTATCATCTAATTTACACTTTTGTATATCTGGCAGTGCACAGCAAGTATACTGAACTATAACACAACATTGCTTCAGTTTGTGCTGTTCAGGTTTTTGTGTTTGCGCGAGGTTTCATGTAGGTACGCATTTATAATTTAGAGTCAGCTGGTTTTAGCGGCGCACCGTGGCTCACATCTGGATGCTTCCTCGTCACTTTTATCGTCTGCTGTGTGACAGACTTTTATAACCTAACCGATGGTTATTCTGTAAGTCCATTTTGTAGTTGATGTTAACCACTTAAGGTCATGATAACAGCTGTCACAGCAGTCCTTAGTGTTTTTGTGTGAACGGAGCCAGAGCACGGCAGTGATGAGGAGGCTGCATCTTATCACTAGTGGTGTTTTTTGAGAATTTCCCAGAGGTGGGACCAAGTCATTGTTTTGCAAGTCTCAAGTAAGTCTCAAGTCTTTATCCTCAAGTCTCAAGTCAAGTCTCAAGTAATGTCAGGCAAGTCAGAGTCGAGTCTCAAGTCACTGGTGTAAAAGTCCGAGTCAAGTCACAAGTCTGAAATTTTGAATTTCAAGTCCTTTCGAGTCTTTAAAAAAAAAAAAAACGAAAAAAAGCATGTTGCAGTTATGCTAAATGTAAATATTAGACCATGTAATTTTTAAATCTGTGTTTTTCTCAACACATGACAAAATAGTGAACTTAGAAAATATACACAAATTGTGAAATTGCACCTCTTTAAAATGCAGCTCAATTAAACCTAGCTCCAAGAATAATTTTCACCGACAGTTCTGAGATAAGCTGCATGTTATTCTTGGATGCAGTTTGGCACGACATAGTAACTTCAGGTCACTGCAACAAGTCCAGGTACAGTTTACCGACGGATGGGTGCAGGACCTTGAAACGCACCGTGTAGAACGAAAGACCATCGTACGTATCATCAGTTTACCAGTCTCACAAATCGTCTTCATAAATACACAATCGTTAACCGTTTATTAATAGGACCTTTAAGCTCAACGGTAATTAATTAGCAGTGGAAATAATTTCTGGTACGCGTTACAGAAATGTAGCAGTGACAATAATACTGTATGCTGTAATCGTACTGGGCAATTAGTGATACAAAAACCCTGTTTTATCCTGTGAATAAAAGTATATGTTTTTGTCAATGTACCATAATAACAGAAGCGAAACGCAATATTGTGTCAGGACAATTCACTATTTATGCACAATAAATAAAGGAGCATAGCGCGACAATTTCTGTTCAGCGCCAGACTTGCTTGTAACCTATATCACTAATTATGTTATGAAAATGACGCATTAACTACAACAGAAGATTTGCCTTTGTGGAAATGCTTGGAGCAGACTAACCTGTGAGCTGGAGTGTTCTGGGACGTTATATTTGGTCTTTGAATGGCTGCAATCCAGGCCACCCATCGCGTCTTTGTTACTTCGGAAACATGACTCGAACAATTTCTCTTCCACGACGTAATCCGATAACAACCGATCTCTTTACCCGTCGGCTTTCCGTGGCTGTCATGCGACCGGCTATTGCAGTTAATAATACAACAGCTTCTTGACATTTTTGTGTTTCTTTTTTATCGCTGTGATTTCAATTGAAAGCCTGCGTGCGCTAGTACCTCTTGCCACGAGTTCCCAGAATCCTTTGCGGTTTTACCCCTGAATGACGTCACATTTTCAATCTCTATATAATATGCATGTTAAATTTTATATTTGGGGTAAAATATCAAGTCTTTTCAAGTAAACCGGTTCAAGTCCAATTCAAGTCCCAAGTCATTGGTGTAAAAGTCCAAGTCAAGTCACAAGTCTTACAACATTTTTTCAAGTCAAGTCTAAAGTCATAAAATTAATGACTCGAGTCTGACTCGAGTCCAAGTCATGTGACTCGAGTCCACACCTCTGGAATTTCCCCCTTCTTCATCTTTTTAACACTTTCCAATCAGGTTTGGTGGGAACGCAAATCTTTAAAAACATTTCAGCGATGTCACTGTAACATAATTCAGCCCGTCTTTAACCAGCAAAGCTTCTTCGTTCATTGGTCATTTATTTAAATGAGTTTTGTCCGATATTGCTTTTTATTTCCATCTGCTCCTCGTCTTTGTATTCAGGAGAAATGGTTGCATACTTGGATGTTACACTGCAGCTTCATTAAACATAAATGCCTAAAGAGATTCAAGTGGCTCGTGACTGACATCGAAGACACCGTTCAAAACCAGATACATTATCATTCCTTTTGATAATTAAGTTACTTTGTATGTAGTTGGACAAATTGTTATTTAAACTATGATGATACTTTTTAGTTTCAGTATTTCCACACAATAAAATAGATTTCACTGATGTTTTACTTCTACAGTGATGTAAGTGTGTTATTTGGACCCAGTCTATCACTCTGAACACTAGATTTTGTGAGGAGCAGCACAAACCTGGGATTTATACTCACTAATGTCACTGCTTTGGGTGTCTGTCACCTTGTTTATCAGACTTTTACGAGCTCTGTTTTTACATCAGCATGAGTTCAAGTTAGGTTTTAACCTCAGTGATTCACTAAACCTGACCCTTTGTGTAGGATTCTCTGTGGTACTCATAAAGAGGAGGTATATATCATTTGGGGGCATTTATTCTGTAGAAATTAGATGACAAGGAGGCCAAAAAAAGAAAGAAAGAAAAGTGGGCCTGTATTAGTTTGAGCTGTACAAGTTGACACAAGTTCATATTTTCCAGGAATTTGGTGGTGCAAAAAACTCGCGCCAGAAGTTGCGTTTAAGAAATGGAAAGGTAAGCCAAGAGGAAGAAAATGCCATGGGGCGCTCGTCTCTGCTCCTGTCCCCTACACACTGCTCTGCCCTCTCGTCCTCCTGCATTAAACCTGCGCTGGCGTTCAGAGCAGAGCAGCCAAAGCCAGAGAAAATAGACAGATGAGCAGGTAGATTTATTGGAGCATTGGTATAAATAAAGTTGCCTGTCGACATCTGTGCGCATGTGGCTGCATGCGTCTGTCTTCGTCAGCGCGTGTGTCCATTTGCGCGTGTCTGCACGGGTGCGTAGCCAGGTTAGAACGGGTGTATTTTTCCATGTGACCCTTTGAATGAAACAGTGCCTTCAGATTGCAACATCGTCCCTCACGGGAACGAGTTTTGTTGATGCTAAGTGCTTACAGACACACACAAAGCATTAATGAAGGGCTGCCACTGTTCATGGATTGACAGTGTTACTCTGCAGACAGTCATTCCCATACATCACTCAGATAAATAGTGTCCTGTCATTGCTTATCTGCTACAGTGGAGTCTTGGTGGTCTGCTGCTCTTATTTGCCGTACATTTAGCGCACAAAATGAGCGTTTACTTGCAGTAAAACAGATATTTGGAGGCGTGAGATTACATAGAAATGCAAAATGAGTGGGCCACTGTAGAGAAATGAGCGATGAGCGAGGGAAAATTAATGAACAGAGGAAAAAAAGAAGGGAAAGGAGAGACTGAAACAAGATAACAAAAGTAAGAAAGCGACACAGAAAAAGAACTTGGAGGTAACTCGACACTATAATTCTCCTCCATTTGTGTGAACTCTCCTCCGGTCCTCCATCAATCTAGCAGCAAGATGTTGCTTATGCAAAGGGCACATCCAGAGATCGGCTCTGTGTGGGGTTTCATCTGATACCAACGACCATAATTACAGGAGTGGGAGAAACAGAGAAACATACTTAAAGCAAACTGAGCTCACGAAACCTGTATGTATACGCACAGCATTCATCGTGCTTTCAAAATGCACAAATCTGCACACACAGTCTCGGTGTGTTTGGGAGAGACAGTGATCTTTATGAGTTAATGCAGGCCCTGGAGGTGATGCCTAATTCCCACAGCCCACCCAACTTGGCTGCCAGTGCTCAGAGATTTAATAGTCCATTTTGTGCACATCACTTACTCACCTTTTAGGTAAAGCTCGCCTGGGGATTCCTCAACGGCATTTACCGTACAGTTAAACACATCGAGAGCGCGTGGCGTGAGTAATCTTGCTCAGGGTTGTTCCTGAACGTGAAGTGACTGGAGTGCTGTGTTAAAAATAAATTGCTTTGCAGATAAAGCTCTGCTAGAGTGGTTTCTCTCTCGCTCTTTAAAAAAAGTATTTTGGCAAAATGGCCCTATACTCCTTGAAAAATATACTATATGAGAAATTATGTGTGCTTTTCTCAAGGAACCTGCTATCATTGCAACACCCTAAAACAACACTTTCTTTCTTGAGAAACACTCATTGACCCACATCATTGTAGTGGGTGGATAAACATTAAGATGACCTCGCAATGTATCTTTTGCTCATCTCGCTCCTTCACCACCCACTCCCCTAAATCTCCCTACATCTGTCCCGCATCTCTGTTGCTTCCTCTCTCCGTCTCTCTCGCTCTTCATCTCTCACACACTCACTCTCCTGCTTGCATGTGTGCCATTTATCAAACTCTGTTACCGTCTCTCTGCCCCGTGTCTTCTCCTTCTTCTCTGTTATCTTGGGTTGTGAAAACATGGCTGCCAGAAGTTGGTGGGAGACAGAAGGGGCCTGGTGTCTGCTCCGACTGCTTTGGCTCAGAGTCGGTTCCTGTGTGAAGACCAGGCAGGACGCTTTCTCCCAGGACAGAGACAATAAACACGGCTGTTTGTACAACAAAAGTCATGAAATGCCTTGATGGGAAGCAGGTTAGCAATGTGCTCAGACATGTATATTGGCATATTGTGATCAGCATACACAGAATCCTTTCCATTTGTCTAATGAGGGAGATGAACGAGCAACAATGTCCCGAGACATCCGCCGTCTCCAGCTTAGTGTTTGTGCAGCATCGTGCACTTTTACTAAGGTTTAGTGTGTCTGTCATGCAGCACAGCAGGACTGAGGAAATCAGGAAAACTAAACACTCTGAACGGATTTATTCATTTTGGTGTTTGAACACTAGATGGCGCACTTGGAGCAGAAAGTTGATTCGTTGGAAAGTTGGTCCTCTTGCTCACTCCATCTCGTCTGTCTTGACAGACGTCATCAGAGCACTGATGGCAATGATAATGATAATAACAATTTAAAAAATAGAGTAAATTAAAACAGTGAAAATGGAACTATAATCAAGCACAACATAGATTCACCAAATTTAAAGCAAAGGTTTAAAACAATAAATGGCCATAACTTGTAATCCATGCACGTTTAGATCAATCAGCCCCTTATTTCTCTCAGTGTGGACATTTGTTTTGGATTGTGTGTGAGAAAGTGAAGACAGTTATACTGCATTTTTGCTCTGGAGCTCTGAAACTTTGTGCATATACTGTTGGACCTGTTGCAACTGCTACTTTGCATACACTCACACTAAAGCACATACATGAGCACAGACACACACACACACAGACAAAAAC